GATTGATGTGCATCTAAGTTCCCTGACTGAAAGAGTGTCAAATATATTAATTTATTTTCTTTAAGTAAATTTGGTATAACACTGAATCCTGTATCCTACAAAGCTCATGGGAATTTCAGTTTCCTATGGTCTCTACCCAAAGCTGTGACAAGGTAATTTTTTATGACATTTCATTTGACCCCTTAGTTGTAAAGTAGGTTGGGGCCAAGCTTGGTGAATGTGCATCCTTACAGAGTGTGGCAGAGGTGCTCCCTTCTATGGTCTTGCCATCGCCCTGGGCACTGTTAATATCAGAACTTTATTTTCACCAAGGTCCAATTTTTCTTCTCTGTCTTCCATGTTTGCTATTTCTTTCCCAGCGACCTCCAAGATACAGAGAATAGTCTACTAAATTTCTTAAACTATGAAAATAAACCTAGGAACTGAAAAGCAACTCCTTTAGTTAGTTTTCTACAAGTTTTCTGTGTTGATAGAAGAACACTTAGAACCATCTGTTTGAGAATATTTACTGGGGAAATTTGAGAAATTAATATCTGAAAGAGTCTTCATAGACATGGCTTCCAACTGGCTGCCTAATATGAGTTGTAAATTATGAAAAACACCTTACACTTGTTACCTTGTTCACAATTCTGGATGCAAAGAATTTATAAAACTGTCCACTCAGCCAGTAAGTGGGAAAATTAGGGTATGCTCTGAGGCTGTCATGAACCTCATTGCTTTATGTCTGTGCCCAGGCTTGCAGGGTGCATAGATTCCCTGTCAGGCACTCCCAGTTTTGTAACCACTAGGAAATGCTGGTAGCACCTAAATAGCTACATAATGCAATCAGCATACTCTTACACTCTACTTTTCCAGGCCACTTTTAAGGTGTTGACCATGTCATCTACGTGGTGCTTTATTCTCTTCATCCCCCACTTTCTTCAAGTGTGGGTGACTCTTGTTTCTGATTAGGTCTCTTATATCAAGAGATACTTATTAAAAATATATATTACCAAAAGGAATTACACATTTGTATTCAGTGGTTTTTGGCAGAGTTTAAGGAGACTATGTTTACTGATAAATCTAGTTAACTTTGGAGAAGTGGCTCACAATCTATATTTTGAGCATCACTGCTCTGGCCCTCTGCCCTTTCTCAACTTGACTTGTTAATATTTATTCGAGTAAAGGCTTGTTTGGTTACAAGGGATAGAAACACTAAAATACACAGGGAATTTAATGTGAAGATGGGCAAGGTGAAAAATAATACAGCTAGGCTTTGGGTAACGATCAAATGGATCCTTTATTTTGTTCTCTTTAAAATTCTATGAACCATTGTTTTCTTTATCCTTCTGGATGACCTGAGACCATGTCAGCTCCATCTCATCTTACCAGCATTGCTCAGCATGCCCGTGGTGTTAGCTTAGAAGCATGAACAAGGCTGTGAATCTGACACAGCACTTCATTAACTATAGTATCTACATTGCCTACATGAATAGGTGAAATAAGAATCTGACTCTCTTACAAGGACATTTTATAGATGAGATGCCTCTGACCTAGTAGCCTTCCCTGGGAAAATCACCTATGGTTGGAATGTAAAGTAGAGAGGAACATGACTTTATGGTGGTTAGCATGCTCATGTAAGGCTGCCAAAACCACAGTTACACCCACAAGAGTTTCCTAAGGAGATGGATATGGGCGGGGCTGAAATCACAGTAATATTCTAAATCTTAAAACTTTATTTTATCTTGCCAGTTCTTAGCTCCATTGCTCCTTATAAATAGTGGGCCTTCTTATCATTCAATGGCATGTGTAACCTGGTCCTATTGTGCCTTTTGGCAATCACCCTGCCTTACAGTGAGCCCTGCTTCTTTGCTCTTCTAACCAGTCATGCTCAGTCTGAAACATTTACATCTTTCATGGTTATTTAATTTTCCTTTAAATCCCTTGCTAAGCTTTTCAACCCTTTTAACATGGAGTCTCTTCTCACACACTGAAGCATTCCTTGACCTGGTAACTTATTCTAATTTCTCTCTCTCTCTCTCTCTCTCTCTCTCTCTCTCTCTCTTTCTTGCGTGTGCATGCGCATGCTCTCCTTATTGATCTTAAGGTATTGTCTCTTTAAATAGTCCATCTTACCTCACCAACCACTGGAAATGAGACTTAGGTTACAGAGAGCTGACTTCTCTAGAATCTAGAATGGAGCCTCACACTGTAACAAGGGCACCAAAAAGTAAGAAAAAAAAAAAAGGAAGAATATGATTTCTTGCAGAATAACCACAGTACAAACATGGTACTGAAGTTCAATCTCACCCTTAATTTTAGTGAACCCGTGTAAAAGATTTGCAACACACGATTCATTACTTTCCTTCATAGTTAATGTTTGATTTTTCTCCTTCCAATTAGTTATTTTCATGCACCTCGCTGAGTTAAGCATGTATCCAGTGATGATCAGGTGGAACAACTTGCTTGCTTGTAAGTAAGTTTCAATTAAGATGGAATTTGCCTACAATGTCCATCTTAGTTAGCTTCTTTTTACCTGTGACAAACCACTCAGACCAATCACAACTTGGGGAGGAAAAGATTTATTTTACCTTCAGCTTGTATCACAGTCCTTCATCAAGGGAAACCAGGGCAGGAGCTCAAGCAGGAATTGAAGCATAGCCCATGGAGGAGTACTGCTTACTGACTTGCTCCTCTGGCCTGTGCTCAGCCTGCTTTCTTATACAATGCAGGACCACCTGCCCAGGAGTCGCAGCACCCTCATTGAGCTGGGCCCTCCATATTACTCAACAATCAAGAAAATGCCCCAGAGACATAGCCACAGGTCAATCCAATAGAGGAAATTCCTCAGTTGAGGGTCCCTCTACCCAGATGTGTCAAGTCAACCACTAAAGCTATCCAGCACAATGTATTATTAACAGTTTGAAATGAAAGGAGATGAAGAAGCAAGACAACATATAAACGGGAGTTAATTTTTAAAGGTATTACCTCATAGCCAAGTAAATGTCCATTGCTCAACTTCCAGGGAATTGTGTTCCATGAAACTTCAATTTCTGAGGAAGACAGGCTATGGGCAGAGATTTGAGATGGGGCTACTGTAGGCTCTGTTTAGAAATAGAAATTGAGATAGAATAATTTTGGTCATTAATTGACAGAACATTTGAAATTCTGTTTGAATTTTTAAATTTAATTTTGATATAGAGTCTTGCCAAGTAGCTCTGGCTGTCTGGTACTTTCTATATAGCCCAGGTTGCTTTGAACTCACCCTGCATCAGCTACTAGAGAACTAGAATGATAATATACAACTAGAACTCTTAGATTAAAAATATTTGCATGTGAAAATCTTACACTATTCAGTAAAATATTAGCCATGTACCATGTCTTGAAAAAATAGTCAGTATTTAAAAAAAAAGAGATGACATCATAGTTATTATTCTTCTCTTGGACTGATTTCTTGGTATCTTCCTTTCTTCCATCTTTCCTTTTGCTCTCTGTCCTGTCTTTCCTTTCTTTTCCTTTCATTCTGCACTGGCTTCATCTTTTAAGACCTGGTTCCTGGCAGAATTATTTCTGCATGCATCCATTTCTGTATTAAATAATCCTTTCCTTGGCTATGGTTAACTGATGGTGAATTAGAATCTGAATTTAAGGATGGGCCCAGGAGGTATTCTATTCTGAGACTCTCAAGGATGGTGTGGGAAAACCGGGAGAACACAAAGTCAGCAAATTCAGCAATCTAGAGAATCAGATCATTTTTGAGTCCCAGAGGTTCTGCCAATTATTGTTCTTCATGAGGTGTACTGATCAGAGATTTTTTTTTTTCTTTCTCATTGAGATACCCTGGCCTTTTTCTAGTACATGTCTCACTTTTTCCTTAGGTAAGCCAAACTTCTTTATGTTGTTTGAAAAGAAAGCCCCTCGAACAAGTCCAAAGCGGGAACAGGAAAATAACAGGAGAGGGATGTGAGTGAGGCAAGAATGAGCTAAAAGCAGTGGCTTTCTCACCCTTCTACCACCAATACTCATCTCTTAGATGCGTGTTATGCAGTGTTAATAACTCCCTGTTCAACTCTCGTTGTTTCCCAAAACCCTGGTCTGCCCTTATAATTCTAGTAGTTTCTGGAAATTTGGTCTGGCTACAAACAGAAAGCTCTTTCTTTTGCAAAGACTTATAACAACTGTTTTTATCCCTCTCCAGCTTAACGGAAAATTAAAAGATAAGACTAGAGGTGGGGAATCTCAGTAAAACAGATTGCCAGCTGTGAACTGCAGTTTGAAATTTATACCAGGTCTGAAATGTAGAGAAGAAACTATGATATTAGGACATCTTGTTTCATATATTGAAAATGGTTTAGGCCAAATGGCCCTGGTTGAATATATTGGCTCTACCATTTATTAAATAGATCTTGGCAAATTTATTCATGTCTTTCATCAAGTGTTCATTTTCTCATTTGTAAAGGGAGAACAATAATTGATCCTATGCTTTAACCGTCATCTGAAAATTCAAATTAGGTGACGCCTGGAAGATGGTGCGTACTCCCTACCACGGTAATTTCTGCCTTTGCTATGATGTACAACTAGACAAAAGGGTTAATATTCAGTTATTGTTCCTCTATCAGTGGTAAACATTTTTCAATTCACTTAACCTTTTATTTTCAAAAGAGGCCTTGAGAGAAAAAGATATCTCAAAGTCATTAAAATATTTTATTCATTTTTATTTTTTGTGTATGAGTGTTTTGTCTATATGTATGTAAGTGGACCACCTGCACGCAGTGCCCACAGAGACCAGAAGAGGATGTTGGATTTCCTGGAGCTGGAGTTACAGACAGTTGTGAGCTGCATGTGGGTGCTGGGAACCACCCCAGTTTCTCTCCTGGAGCAGCAAGTTCTCTTAACCCCTGAGTCATCTTTCCAGCCAAACCCCCACTGTAAAAAAAACAAACAAACATTGTATTGTCTCAATATCTTGAAAAGGTGCAAAGGAAGGGCAGTGAAACTGAACAGGTTCGGAGTGAACAATGTGTCCAATGGTTGTCCAATCATCCTTCAAAGATATATACTCCACATCTCCTGAATGTCACTCTTGGTTCTCATCATCCATCATGCCCCTGTCCTTTTCTCGGGCCACAGAAACCACTATAAAGATCTGTCTTAGGGTGGATTGAAGGGGCTGTTTAATTTTGAAGGTGACACTGTCCCATGTTTCACAAGCTAAAACTCAGGATGTGTGTCTCGTGAACAGTTTTAAGTGATCATTATACTCTATAACTATCCATTGAGTCTTACATTTCTAGTTAGTTATGATTGATCTTTATGGCTTGCATTGGGAATCTAGAGCTTTAACAATTATTCTTTTGAATAAAATTTTATCTGAGGTCACATAGAATTTTAAAGATTTTTTTTTTGAACACAATGCACTGACAAAATTAGAACCAATGCCTAAGAATGTTTTCCATACCTTCTTCTGCAGAGAACACTGTTGTCACGGGGCTAAATGGCCCCTCACCTTTGTTATTATAAACACCCACTTTGACTTCATATGGTGAAAATGGCATGATGCTTTCATTCCTAAAGACATATCTTGGGCTATCAGGAGATGTCACCACTGTCTGGATCCAGGTAGTTACCCCAAGAGGGCGGAAAGCAACCACGTACCCAAAACCTCCACCGTTCTGTAGTTCTTCGGGGACTGGCTACAAAGAAAAAAATACATGAGATTGTTTTAACACATAAGGGCAGGGCAAAAGTGAATGGAGTTATCATTTGTAGTCTTTTGTAAGTCATCAAATAATGATCTTCAAAGAATTTAGTAGACAGATTTTAAAAAGGAGAAAAGCACCCATGAGGCTGTCAGGTGAGATACTTTTAAACAGACACAGGGCACTCACTCAGAGGCATCCGGATAATGAACTTGAATGTTCTGTGATTATTTGGATATCAGAACATTGTAGGGCTCAAGTTTGAGTTTCTGGTAACACATACTTTCTTTGAAATACATATGTTATTTTAAGACAAATAAAAAAGATCAAATCACTAATGTTGATTTTACAGAAAGAAATCATACCTGGATGTTATGACTCAGTACAAAAAAGTAAAGAGAAAAAGGACGTGAATACAATGTACTAAACTCAAAGTTGCATGTAATGAGAGCAAAAATTCTATTTAAAATCCATCATGAGATAACGGCTTTTTATACGTTTAGCAACATCTCCAAATAAGACAAATAATTTTAGCACTAGTGCCTTTTTAACTTTACAACATGCTAGTTGTATTTTTCTTAATGGGACATGAAATGAAGCTAGGAGAATGGCCAGAAATAAAGCAGAAAGTCAAGCACACAGTGGGCTGTGTGACAGCAGTGGGACACAGGGCTGCATGGAAAATTAAGATCACACAGCAAGAGTTTACCTAGGAGTGCTTGATACTCATTCGTGTGTTTAACAGTCAAGTGATTTTTGAGAAAACTGCTTTTGATCTATGCGCCTTAGTATTTATTTTATCTATAAAATAAGAATGGAAAGAACACAGTATGTACAAATGATTTGAAAATTAATTAGCACTGAAGGAAGATCCAAAAGCATTAGTTACTAGTGGTACTATTGGTTGTGGCAACAGCAACAGGAGAAACAGCAACAGAAGAAACAGTGATCTGAGAAGCAGTGACAGGAGGAACAGTCCCAGAATCACCACTAGGATCAATCCTAGCAGCAGCAACACCACCACCACCACCACCAGTAACACCATCTGCACAACACAAGCAGCAGCAGCACCAGGACAACCAGAATTATGAGCACAATTACAATTACTACCAGAAACACCAAAACCAACACCAAAACCAACACCATGACTACCTGTAAGAGTGTTGCCAACAGCTTAACAATATCACCAGCAGTATCACCTGTACCAGTAGCACCATCAATACCTGAATCATTAGAAGCACCAGTATCTATGCTACCGGCTATGATATAACCACCATCAGCACCAGCATCACCATCAGTACTGGAATCATTCACCAGCATCAAAGTTACCAACTATACTATAACCATCATCACCATCAGCATCCCCATCAGCACTAGTGTCCAGCTGTAGCAGGGGCAGCATCAGTACTAGAACCATTAGGATAACCAGTATCTATGCTACCAGCTATACTATAATCACCAGTGGTACCAGAAAAAACACAACTCACACAAATACTATTAGTGCCTCTACTACTTACTATGCCACTAGCTCTATCACCAATGCCAGTGCTCCCAGCACTACAAGGATGAGTACCCTAAGAAGTACTAATACTGTCATTACCACTCTTAGCATCACCAACAGTACTAGCAGTACTACTACCAACACTAGCACTGTCAGCACCATCAGCAGTATTATCATTACCATCAAGAACAGCTCCATCACACCAGCACCAACAGCACCAATGCTGCCACCAGTTTAATCAGAATAAAATCCAGCACCAGCACCATCAGGGCCATCAGCATTAGCACCAGTACCACCACCATTCATATTATTAACAAAACCAACAGTAGCAGAACCATCACCTGTGCCACTAGAGGCACCACTAGTGCCATGAGTACCATCAGCAGGACCGGTACCACTAGAAGCAACACCATCATAACCAATATCACTACCAAGAGTATAACTGCCAGCAGTAATATCATTTGAACCAGTCCCAGAATCATAACCACAAGTACTACCAGCAGCAAATCCACTAGACTAGAACTAGGACCATCAGTGTTAGCACAACTGCTAGTAGTCCAATATCTCAGCACTATCCATACCAGCACCAGAACTAATATCACCACCACCAGCAGCATTGCCACTAGTGCTACCATAAACACCCGCACCACTAGGACTAGCAGGACTAAGGTGACCAGCAATATTACCAGTGCTATCACTGGCACTAACACCACCAGGGTCATCAACACCAGAGCCACCAGAGGATCATGACTAACACAGTGCAACTGCCAGCATTACCATAAATACCACCAATACTGCCACCACTTTCACCATCAACACCACCACCAGTACCATCAACACTACCAATACCACCACCCCATACCACCAATACCACTAGCACTACTACCAGCAATATTACCACCATTGCCACTACCATCGCCGCCATCCATACCATCAGCAGCCCCATACCACCAATACCACCACCAGCATTATCAACACTCCCACTATTTCCACCAATACTACCACCCAAACCACCACTGCAACCATCAACACCACCACCAGTACCACCATTGTCACCAATACCAATATCCATAACACTAGCACTACCATCAATATCACCACTAACACCATCAACACTATCACCATTGCCACCAATACCACCACCTATACCACCAGCACTACCCACAGCTACCATCAATACCACCAGCAGCACTATTACTAGTGAAACCACGACACCTGTACCACCATCAGTATGACCAGTGCTATCGGTATCACCAATACCAACAGCACCATCAGCACAAAGAGGACCATCACTATCAACATCAGCACCAGCGCCTCAGTGGCATCACCAGTGCCAGTGCCACCAGAGTCACTAAGATAGGCACTAGCACCAGTCGTAACACCGTCATCAATGCGATCATCAGCATGGGTAGTAAGAATCACCAGGACCCTTAGAACCACCAGCACCATCAGAAACATCAGCCTGACTATCAACACCAACACCTTCGGAATCACCAGCACTGTCAGACGCATCAACACTAACAGAATCATCAGCATACTCAGAACCACCGGCACCCTCAGAACCACCGGCATCTTTAGAACCACCATGCAATCAGAACCATCAGCAGCAGGTTTAACAGCACCGGCACCACCAGCACTAGTACCAGCATCAGCACCATTAGAATCGGAAGAAGAACCCCTGGCCATCACCACCAGCTTTACTGCCAGCAGCACCAGCACCCTCCAGTGCTACCACCATTGGCATCCCTAGGAATACTTCTCCCAGCACTAACACCACCAGTACCAACATTACCCAAACCAGCACTGATACCAACACTAGCCACCAGCACTGCCAGCATCTGTCCCAACACCAGCACTGTAAATGTGAGCACCATCAGTTCCAGCATCAGCAGCACCAGCAGCAGTGCTAGCCAGGAGGCTGTGATTACTGTGTGAAGAGTGACACCCAGATGAGAAAGAGGTTGCCCAGACACTTACATCCCAGGTTATTACTAGTTCAGACCGGCTTCCACCTCCTCCACTGACTTCAGAAGGTGGCACTTCTGGAACTGTGTGGGTCAGAGACACAGAGATGAAACCCTATTTTTATATAGTAATATCTGAAAGAAGATTCATTTACTTATTTTTAATATCTAAAACAGTTGAATTGTGGACACATTATAGATACATTATACATATGTATATATACATTTTATATATCTTTAATAAGGTCAAAAATTATATTTTCATGAATTTATGGAAAATTTAGGTTTGGTAAAGTCTTCAGATTACATTATTTGTATAAAATCATAAATGATTCAGAAATCTCCCAAGCAGTAAGAAAAAAAAAATAACCCAAATGAAAGCTACTTTGTAACTGGGGTGACAGAAAAATGATTCCTAGGGATGGTAGAAAAATCATTCTACCATGAACTCTTCTGAGTCAAGAAGGAAAGTCTCAGAATGATAAATGCTTTCAGTAAGAGCCACATGGACTGGAACCCTCAGGTCCTACTAGGAGCTGTTCTTTATGAGTCTCACACAGCCATCAGTTATCTATTCATGCAGAGAACATTTTGGTTTCTAAACCCTAAGATGAAACATTCTAGAATATAAATTCTGCAGAGGGCCTCTGTCATGTTCACAGATGTATTTGCTAGGTGCACAGTGGATGCTCCCTAAATACACATTGTGTCAACAAGTGAAAAGAACAGCTAGGCAGGCATGGTTCTCTTTTCTTACATCTGACGTAAATGTTAGGTGTACTGTCCAGACTGAAATACATTATTAAAATTGTGGAAATGTATGCCATGCCTCTCAATTTGGCTTCATTCCTAAAGTGATATGTTTGCTCTATTTCAAACTTCATTTTAATTACTATGAATTAATATTACCGATTCTGGAAAGGAAGACATTATGTTCTCTCTATGAAGAGATGCCAGGATACTTTCTAGTTTGAGTTTTGAAGTTAGCATATTTTTTAAAATGATGAACATAGGTTTCTAGTTTATATTAACAGCTGCTGCAGGTGCATTCATAACAACGATTCTTCCTTAATTTAACCCCTGAGGGGCCAAAATATACTATTCATCAATTGCTTAAGCACCTTTGCTGAGCTTGGTGACAGAATAAGTTTTTCTAGTAGCAGAGCTCCTAGGGTCATTATTACACAATTTGCCAATGCTTGTTATAAATGAAAACAGCATTTCCCCTGCTAATGGGTAACTATGTCAGATAGTAATTATAACCTTAAGTGACAAAAACATATTCACTCAGCTTACACTAGTGATCATTTACAATGGACTGGACTCTTGGAAATGTCACACTGCATCAAAATCACATGTGTTTCTTTTGACAAATGCCTTATGGTGAATTCTATTAGAAAGGTCAGATTATTGTTGACAATGGATTATTGAAATAGTTCTGCTGGCCAGGATACCGGAGTTAGTAGAAATGTACACCTGAGTAACTCTATTAACACATAACTTAGAAAACAAAAGCACTAACCTGCCTCTTCAGTCCTTACTTTTTCTGAGGGTAAACTGGGTTCTCCACCTCCAATTTTGTTACTGGCCACAACTCGAAATTCGTACTCCACCCATGGGTTTAACTCGACTACAGTGGCTGTGTGTGTCATGCCATCAATAGCCTCAGGTACTACAAAAGGAAGGTTTGGAAGGTATGGGTCTGCATACTCTTGGACTCACTTTAAATGCATTACTGCAATAAGCTGATGCCATCTGCTTCCCTCTGTCCCTTTACCTGTTGTGACAGTTTGCCAGCCTACAGAGAAAGGTGTCCTAGCCTGGATTGCATAGGATATCACGGGGCTGTGGTTGTCTGCACCTTCTTTCCAAGAAAGCTGAGCTGTTGTGTCTGTGATTTCATCTACCTTCACATTTTCAGGAGGTCCTGGTGAACCTAAGGAAGGCAAGAAATGCAAACATTGGGCAGCAATTCCACAAATGCCATCTTCTACTAAAGTGAAGAACATCACACGATCACTTCAATACCTCCAACTGATCCCACTTTCAAGAGCACTTAAAGGAAGAGGGCATTTATCTGGCAATAAAACTACTACTTTTCCACGTTTCCATTGTTAGATCTTAAATCTGGAGAGGAGGCAGTAATTTATAATACTATAATGACTGCAGGTGACACCTACTTTGTAAGGCTCTATTCAGCAGTATTCCTGTACCTTTCCTAAATCTGTGTCCTGTGATTTGAATGGGATGCTTTTCTCTGAAATTCACGGGTGCAGCTCTGAGACTTTCAGCTTGCTACCTCAAGGCGTTCTATTCTGTCATGTGATGTGGGCATTATTTCAGCCTGGTAGCAAATCTGCACTCTAGACAACAGCTTAGGTTGGTAAATTATCTCACCATTCTGAACAATATCAGTTCTTTTGGAGGCAGAAACACACATAGCATATTCTCTCTCATATTAAATACATTTGCTGAATTAATGACATGCCCCCAAACACATCATCTTGGAGGGTGCCATGGAACGCCAGTTACCAAGAGAGCTTTGTGAAGGCCAAGCTTGGGGTTTCTATTTCTTTGAATCAGCCATCCTTATTGTCATATTCTCAGGCACATGGGTGCCAGGATCACATCTACTCTCTGACTTGTGTTCTTGTATATTATCTCAGCATAGATTCCCTTCAGTAAGGAATCCTCAGGTATGACATGAATCTAGAAAATGCAAAGAGGGTTTAACACTTGCCTCTCACTATGAGCTCTGCTGCAGACGAAACACTGTCCACCCCTGACTGCACCATACACACATACTTTCCACTGTGTTTTAGCTGAATATTTCTGATCATTAAATCACCAGATGAACTCTGCTGGGAAAACAGGTAATGAACACATCATTATTTTTAAAGAACATAAAGGACCTTGAAGGCTATAGCCAACAACAATATTGCTATGCAATCTGCTCTTAGAGATACCACCAAGGTGGTAACTAGTCAGGAGATTGCCATCAGAGGATGCATGAAAGCAAAGACAAGTTCAAAACCACACATGATGGCATACAAATATTTCTATAGGCTAATCAACCACTGCATTTCCCTTGGGGAAGTCTGGTTTCAAAAATAAATGAGGGCAGAGATGACAGGGTCAGAGTCTATCTACTTCGGCCAGGCAACACTTCTTTTTTTATCTACTACTTAGCACCAGCTTAGCCTTCTTCTGGTTCCAACCACACTGCAATTTTCTGCCTGAGAAGAGGAGGAAGCATTGTATAACAAGTGGAAGACAAATATAGCATGGCAGGGGAATTACCATAGTTAAAGCACTTTCCTCTTTTCTCAACACATTGGCACTTAAAAAGACTCAAGCCATCTAATCCCTTAAAAAAGCTGTAGAATTTAGAGACAGGAAATACAAACTCTTAAAAAAGAAATTAGAACACTTTAAACCTTACAGACAATAGTTATCCATAAAGACAATCTTTGGCACCCTTCTATCAATTAATGGAACAAATGTATATCTAAAATATTTTTTATTTTTATTTTTGTATGTACGAATGTATCATCTGCATGTGTGTAAATGCACCTGTGTTGTGCAATGCCTATGGAGGTTAGAAGAGGGTGTCTGATTCTCTGGAACTGGAGTTATGAATGGCTCTTAGCTGCCATGTGGGTACTAGGAATTGAACCCGGGTCCTCTGCAAGAATAGCCAGTACTCTTAACTGCTGAGCCATATCTCAAGTCCCACAAATGTATATCTAAATGCTCAACATTAAACAGTTCTTGTCTAAAGAGAACATAATAACACACTAATAAAATGACAAATGGCACGTCAGTTTCCAGCATTGCTGAAAATCATCATCACAATAAGGAAATCTGGAAAGTAAAGCCCCTTGAAAATGATTGCCCCTTTATATCTAGCCTGGGAGGAATAAGCAGTGTTTATCTTACGAATTAAAAGGATGGTTTTACCCTTGAATTTGTCGCAAGATGGTTTCTACTATCTGAATTTTAGGTCATTTCCTAAAATCATATTCAGGGTAATATCTTAAATATTGTTCCCTAACTTTATCATTGTTAATGGACTGCGTATTCCCTACTGGTTGGATCATACGGCTTTAGATGAGATTTCTTGAGTGCTGGGAGAAGCAGCTGTGGGGTGATTGATGGTTATAATTAAATGATAATCCAGAAACTGCTAAATTGGCACATTTTACTTCCATTGAGTTGAGCCTCTTACTTTCACTCCCTCCATCTCTTTCTTCTTGGGGTTATTTAGACATTTATCCCCAAGACAAAACCTTTACAGCTTCCTGACCTGTACAAACTGCAGGTTTGATGAGCTTCACATACTTAGGAGGATGATCATCCTTTCCATAGAAATCTTTTCAGGAAAAGCTGTTACTGTCAAATACCATCAAGGCACTGGGTGAGCCCTTTATTCCTTTCTACCTTTATTGGCTTATTTGAAAGCAGTTGGGTTGAAGAGAATTTTAGCCTTTTCCTAATTGCTTAGACAACTGAATGTATCCTTTAGGTACACTGGCTACCTTCATTTTTTGAAGGAGTAAGGAAGAACTTGGTGTTCGGACTTCTGACGACTGTTGGTCCTGATGACTAAAGAAAGTGAAATAGCTTAGCTGGATCATAAAACAAAACAAAGCAAAACAAAACCAATTTTTTTTCCCTGAAGAAATGCAGTCAGTATCTTCACATAGGTGGAACTGGTAGAGGAAAGGTGTCAGGGGCTCCCCCCAAGCCCATGTGATCCCTGAGGAACAGATTCTCAAATGACCCTAGGAGTAATAATAAATTGGTTTATCTGGGCTAACTGCATTGTCTTAAACACCCAAAAGGAAAGTATAAGCAAAGATTAAAGAAATCAATATCATTCTTTAAGAGTCCATGTGTATAGCTAAAGGCTACATAACAAGAAACAATGCCAGACAGGAGATACCTTCCTTTGAGTTGTTGGCCAGGGTGGCCCAAGAGACTCCTAAACAGTAACTCAGCATAGAATTGGAAAAATGCATAACAGATCCCAATCTTATCTAAAGGAATGTTGGCAACTGATTGCTGCTAGATGAGGAAGAGCTGATCTTCCTAAAACAAGGAACTCTAGATAGGCTGACTAGATTTGGCAGATGGACAAGCACTGGAGAATGGCTGGGGGCACTAACAACACAGTGGACATTAACAGGGATGACAGTATATGAGCTCCAGTGGGGGGTGAGAGGGCATGGGAGGGTGTCACTTGGGATGTGGGTATATAGATGAATAAGATTGGGATGTTCTATATGAAATGCACATACACAAAAAAATCAATGAATTTTAAAAAATGAGTTATATTTGAGGAAGAAGCATAAAAACTTGCTTTATGTTAATTAGTAGAAGTGAAAAACATTATCACTGAAATCTTCCCGATGACTTTATATCCGTGCTCAGGTGCCAAGGATCTCAGAAAGTAACTGACTGTGACTAGTAATAATCAGATATAGATTAAAGACGCAGGTACAAACATCTCTTAGTTGCATTAAAAATGAATTTTTCCATATGAAACAGCATATTTTAATAATGAAATGGAGATCTTTGTAAAGGTTAAAAACTCATTCAATTTTATGTCTTATAGGGTTTATACTGAGTACAATATTGTATAACTGTATTAATTGAACTGTAAACTTAAAAATTTATAGCCAATTTTGAAAGAGATGCATCTTAGCTTTGGATGCTCTTGACTTAACTATCACAGGAAAGAATTTGAAGTTGAATAGTGTGAAGTAGAGTTGGATTTTATTAAAAATTATTTTTAAGAGTTATTTGCTTTTATTTTATATGTATGACTGTTTGCATGCATATATATATGTGCACCACATGTGTGTCTATTTCCAGAGAAGGCTGGAAGAGGGCATCAGATTCCCTGGAACTGGAGATGGTTGTTAGCCACCATGTGGGTGCTGGGAACTGAACCTGTCCTCTGCAAGAGCAGCCAGTGCTCTTAGCTACAGAGCCATCTCTCCAGTCCTTAAAATTTTTGATAATTTTGTTGTACAGATGGAACAACATGTTGCTAAGACATGTAGAAATGGAAGCCATTGATTAGTTTTTCTCAGGACCTGCATAGAATGAGTGGAGGAATACATAACTGAAAGACAAAATTTTACAAAAATTAATGTTTATTTTTTTGTCTATTTCAGTGAGATATATTTGTTCCACTCGAATGCTTTGTCTCCTACCCTGTTGACTTTTAACAGATCACTAGAGAGAGGGAGATTATCTTTCGCAAAACTGCATACAGTACTGGTAATTTTAGATTCACGGAAGGACAGTTTTGTCTAACACATGGTCCCTGCTTTCTAGGACATAAACTCAAACCACGGTTACAAAGTAGCCACCTATGAAAAAATATGATTATGAATAAGAAAGTATAGAATATGTGAAATAAAACCACATGCACAGAAAAATTCAATTCCTCTGAAGATATGGGCCAAGAACTCATTCTATTGCTGTTGGGATGACAAATCTATACAACTTCTTCTTAACTTTTTGCAAATATTAACTGCAAATTATATGTGTGATTTATTTCCCATTAATTCCATTCCTTACCTTATGCCCTAAAGAAATGTATGGATGTATCTACCAAGGAAATTTGTTGTGAAAACAGAAACTTAATATCCATCACACTTAACTATGCAAATAAATTGTAGAATACCGACTTAATGAAACACTATCTGGTCATAAAATGAATGAATAATACACTCAGGTTGACATGGTTGTGTTTAAGAAACATAAAGCTTACATATCAGAGGGGAGGACAACACAATGCTAATCTTACCACACGGGAGGTCTAGATTGTGGTTCTCTCTGGAAGAACGCCAGCTGTTTGCTTTTGTTTGTTTTTCTAGAAGAAGGGATAGAACCTAGGGCCTCATGCCCACTAGGCAAGACTCTGCTGCTTAGCTTCATCCCTGGCAAATGCTATTTATTATTTTGAGAAAAGATCTTACCACATCACTCAGAATGGCCCTGAACTAGCAATCTTTTTGCCTCAGTGTGTGAAATAGCTGGGATTACAGTTCTGTAATACAGACCCAGTGAAAAATTAGAATGAAGAGCCACAAGGTAATCTGGGATGAAAGCCATGTTCTGTCTCTTAAGTTTAGTGCTGGTTATATGCATGTGTTCATTTTGTGAAAGGTAATTGGATTACAGTTTGGCAGAAAATAATGGCTATCAAAAGGCAGCTATGATTATGCATAATTATATTTCTAAGTGCTCAGCTTTTAATAAAACCATAGGTCAACACAGGCACACGGCAAGACTTTAATTCTTCATTCTAATTTCCCTCATAAGACTTAATGTTTAATAATAAAAATTCAAATCATGGTGCTAGTCACATATATTATGATTTCTTATCAATATGTAGTCATTTCTAGAGATGCCAAAGCCACACAAGCAATTCCCAAAGGTGCATTCACTTATTCAGAGTGATCGTCTCCTCAATCAATTTGACACTCGGAGAATATGGTTGTTGGTTCACTGATAATAGGAATCAGCTGGGAATGTTCAGAAAAACCCAAGAAAAATTAGTCAAAACAGAGAAAAGTTGAACTCCATAGACTATTTCTCAATATACCTGTCTATAAGTAAAATATTAAGGAATATTTAGAATCTTATCTGTTAGTCTCTAGGACAGGGATGTTCAATCTGAGTTCTGCAGGTGACATGAAGCACAGGATTACTGTGACTGAAGACCAACAAGAAACTGTAAACTCACTTAACACACTGTGGGATTATTTTCCTAAAGTATTAATTGCTAATTATGTTATACTTAAATATTAATTGTAATAATTTGACCACACAGTCCTGGACCATG